TTATTATTATTATTATTATTATTATTAGTATTATTATTATTACTATTACTATTACTATTACTATTACTATTACTATTACTATTACTATTACTATTATTATTATTATTATTATTATTATTATTATTATTATTATTATTATTATTATTATTATTATTATTAACCTCTCGCGATGTAAATATACTTGCCGGAAAATGTAACTATCTAAACATTCAATCACAAGTTGACATGTGGCAATTACAAATAAAATCACCCATAAACTTCCAATTAATAATTACTTTGATAACCATGGTTGGAGTAGATGAATTTTAATTGATATTAAAATATTATTTCAAATATCAAAATGAATATTTGAGAATTCAATTTTGATATTTTGCATTGGAGTTGCTCTAAGGATGTGATTAAAATGTTAAAACACACCTTTTATATATAAGATAAAGATGTGCTTAAAATGTTAGGAGTAATTTTAAAACAAAAAATAAACTTATCAAAGAGTAATTTTAAAACAAAAAATAAACTTATCTTTATTATTAACTAGCATTCTTTTTTCCCGTGCGATGCACGAGATCGTATTTCAAAAGTGAAAAAAAATCATTTTAATACATAATAGAATTATAATACACTAACAGCGTAAAATTTAAGAAAGTAGTACTATTCTTATTTTATATAACATTACTTTTTTTTTTTACGTAATAAGATTTATAACCCAAACAAATAAGTTAAGATTTAACAAATCGGATTTCTATCTTCATCTCTTAAGATTTGAGATATATTGATGGAAATTGAAGATTGCAGCCGGAAGAATTCTTCACGGCTCAGTGTTGATTTTGATAATTGTTGAAAAATATAATTAGAAAATTAGTACAGAAAAAATATTTAAAATAAATAATTAAAATAAATAATTACAGAAATGCAATTAGGATTTTCTTAGGATTGACCTAGCGTTTCTTTCTTTTATATATAAGATGAATGTCTAAAAAAAATCAATATCATGTAAGCTGTATATCTCCTTTTATGTGTAAAAACAATCTATGTCAAAACAATAAATAAATGTTAAATAGAAAAAATGTTTAAAAAAAATGTTTTTTTCATTTCCTGAGCTCCAATAGTTAAAAGGATAGATACAATAGGGATAGATATCATGTAATTGTTTTTCCTTTTTTTTTTTTTTTTTTTTTTTTTTTTGGGGGAGAACTTTAATATAAATATTTTTAAGTTGGAGCCTTGGAGAGGAGAAAAGTGAGGAGGAATTTGAATTTTTTCAGACATTATTGGCATAGCAATTGCAATCGGAAATGAAGCGAATACCCTTTTTCATACCAAAATTAGGGTAAAAGGCTAAAACCCTCGACTAGGGCTTTTCCCGCCTTAGAACCCTCTCTCTTCTCTCTCTCTCTCTCTCTCTCTCTCTCTCTCTCTCTCTCCGCCATTAACCCAGGCATCAGAAAAGGGATTCGCGAGATCGATGGTGTCACCTAAGCAACTGTTATCGGTAATCGAGTCGACTCTACTGGGGCGGACTCCGCCCACCGCCGCCCAGAGAATCGAGCTTATTCACGCCATTCGCCACTCCCTCCCCTCCCTCAAGGCTCTCCTCTCTTATCCCGTACATTCTTACTCTATGTTTCTCTCGGTTTACAAGTTTTTCTTTTCTTCTTCTGTCCTTTAGGAACAAAATTCACCCAAGTTCTTGTATTGGGCATATATGTTTATCCTATGAAATTAGATTGTTTATGTTGCGCTGAATCAGAATAACATTATTTTTTAATTTCTTGAGGAAATTTCGGTTTCACAAGTATTTTTCTATAATACGCTACATCTCATTTACACTTGTTATGCACAGAAAATACCAGTTTAGAAAGAATATGTTATTCTTTTTCTTTTTCATTTTCCATTTTAAGTTATTGTCTTGTGTGTTTTGTAAATATAACACCGTAGTGAAAAAAGATTCAATGTAAAGGTTCTTAACATCCTGTGTCTGCATAGTTTTAATTTCTGATGTCATTTCTACCAATTTATTTATTTCTCTCTTCTGCTCACTTTTTTCTAGCCTCCAAAACCGTCAGACAGAGCTCAAGTCCAGTCAAAAGAAGTGAGATTGCCAGATGCTGCGCCATTATCACTTGATGATCACGATGTTCAGATAGTTAGTTTCTATATCCTTTTCTACTTTCCATTATTTATATTGTAAGTCCTAATCAACAGTTAAGCCATGGAAGCACATTAAATGAAAGGCATATACCTTTTGATCCTACAGTATTGGCACTGAGAACTATGTGCAAAATATTTTGAATACTGAAGCTTAGAGTTATGTATGTAATGAAAATAACGATCAGTTTAAGCTCGTAGACATATAATCATGCGGCATATTTTTTTTTTGGCCAACAGAGATAATCACAAAATTGACGAATATTTATGAGCATGGCACATCATATGCTTAAATATTTTGGCATAATATTTTAAGTAAAACATTGGCACACATGCATGCATACAGGTGTAATGGTATATATTTCCTTGGCTAAAGATACAGTTGTTGGGTACTGATACTTTTGTGCATATGATGTGTTCCCTATTCCATATCTATCTCCTTACTGTTTGATTCTGCTCCAAATCTTTGTCATGTTATCTAAGCCTTTCATTTTAACTACTTGTTCATTTTTGAACCCCTAGGCTTTAAAATTGAGTGAAGATCTCCATCTCAATGAAATAGATTGCGTGCGTTTGCTTGTTTCTGCCAATCAAGAGGTAATATCTGATCAGCAGAGAAGTTCCTTTTTTTTTCGATTTTTCTTCAATTACTAATTTGACTTGCAGTTAATATGACTTGAATTATCATGTTTTTCTGTTGCTGCTTGAAAACATTTTATTTGTTCGTCTTTCAGTGGGGATTTCTAGGTCGAGAGCCACTAGAAATTTTTCGCCTTAGCGCGGGACTTTGGTATACAGAGAGAAGAGATTTACTGACATCACTGTACATGCTATTTAGGGTAATGCATCTTCTTGATTGCATTTCTAATGATAAAACCTTACCGTGTTCTTGATGTTGATTATTTTTGGCTTGTTACAGGCAGTTGTTCTCGACCAGGGTCTTGAAGCGGATCTTGTAGCTGACATTCAAAGTTATTTGGAAGATCTCATTACTTCTGGACTTAGACAGCGATTAATTTTACTTACAAAGGTTCCATCTTCTTCCTAATATCTTTTTATGGGAATGCAGTATTATCTCTTGCATGTTCTGTTCATATCGATAATTAGTTGTGCTCACTCGTCCTTCCGCTCTTATATTTTGTTTAGTTTTTTAAATGAATAAAACTGCAATTTTATTGCTTGCAAAGAGTTCCTGAGTTGGTACAGTGCAATTGTGGATCACTTAAAGGACCTGTTATGAAAAGCTTAAAAATGTGTGATTTTCAGCTTCTTGCTTATATTGGCAGTGCATATTTTGTAACACCTGCATTTCTGAGCTGTCCTCTGTAACTAAGCTAAAGTTTGAAGCTGGAAGCAGCACTTGGTATGCTTCTTATTGCTTGGGTTAACTGGATATTGTGCAACATCTTAACCTTCACCTTCATTTGAAAAACTACAAGCTGATGAAACTTCCCAGATTGCCCTCGCATTCTATCACTGTCACTTAATTAATTGAATTGTATACAGTATAAAAAAATGTAAGGAATGTAATCGCTTGCTTAAGTATGTGCTTATTTTTACTATTCAGATTATTTTATCATACTTCAATTATAAATTGCTATGCAAATCTTTGTGGTATACATAAATAAGCTAGATTTGTAATTAATACAGTGTTCATATTGTTTGTTACAATATTGATGCCATTTGATATTGTTATTATTACGTTATACAAAAACCGACAAATACTCATTATAAATTATAATAAAAGTTTGTTAGTTAAGTTTCCGTTCCGAAGATTTCCAGAGGCTTTTAAGTAAGGAAGTGGAAATAAAAAAACCATAAACATCCACTATCAAAAGTTCTAGCGATGTGAACTGTTTTGCAACTGTAGTATTTCTATTGCTTTTGTAAATGTAAGACTTCTTCTTAGCAGGGTTTTGCATAGATGTCCGTAGTTAAGTGTTGTCATGGATTTTATTACAATGGATCTGTTAAAAAAATTATATGAAGAAGTTATATTACCAGTAGACCCATAAAGGCATGACGGTTTTACATTTCATTCTTCTATTATGTTTCTGTTTTTCCCTTTTATTTTTCTTTTACAATATTGTACATTTTCTGGATTTTCCCAGTTTTTGTTCTTCTTGTTCATCACTATCTTTTTTTTATTATATTTCTCTACATTTCTCACTATTTTTCTCATTTTCACTAGGAACTCAGACGAGAAGAGCCAACGGGCTCAGGTGGGCCCAACTCTGATAGCCACATTCTTGACTCTAGGGGTGCTCTGGTGGAAAGAAAGGCTGTAATTACTAGGGAACGGCTCATTCTTGGTCATTGCCTTGTTCTTTCAATGTTGGTGGAGCGTGCAAGTAAGCCTGAACAACGATTTTTTTGCTATATTTATTTCATTGAATCCTACAGCATTGTCATGTTTAAATACACAAAAGAAAAATGGTATTTCATCTAGGTTGGGGTTTAAGTTTACAGTTTGGATTACCTTATCCGTTATAAAAATTCCAGTTGAGTAATTATGAATTTGCTATTATCCTTTATGCTCTTTCAAATGCCTCCCGTCTTCAAACATACTTTTGTCTGGTTGTGTTGCTTCTCATTTTAGGTTCCGTTACATAGAAGATGTTTTGCGTCACTCTTTATTTCAGTAAACCAATAAAGAGGTACTGGGCTTAATTCACTATTAAACAGAACCACCTCAACCAAATTAGATATATTATGAATATGCAGATCCAATATGAATTAATGAATTCCACAAGTTTGTTGTGTGTGATTTGGCACTACCAAGGTTGTATAGTTTCCCTCATGTTTTTGGCTATGAGACTCATGGATGAAGTGATTGTCAGTGAGCTTAGGTATAAAGATGATTTAGCATATTTTGATGCTTCTCTATGTAAGAAACTGAGATTAATGGACTGATTGGATTTGCTTCATGCAGGCTCTAAAGATGTTAAAGACATTTTTTTTGCTCTAAAAGAGAGTGCTGGAGAATATAGTGGGGCCGTGGAATCCTCAAAGCATCAGGTTAGGCCCTTTGTTACTTCAACTTCTGACACGTTTTGTGTTGGACACTCACGGACACCTTTCGGAAACTTTGTGGGCCCTTCTTGTAGTTTTGAAAATTTATAGACATGTTTCAATAGCAAATTTCCAAATATTTTTGTTGGTTCCTTAATTATTTACATGATTTAATAATCAATTGCAAATTAATAGTTGATAATAATATTTTTTCTGAAGATATTTGTATGAAAATATATAAAATAATTTTTCAATTAATAAAACACACACACACACATATATATATATATATATATGTCATAGTTGATAATAATATTTTTTCTGAAGATATTTGTATGAAAATATATAAAATAAATTTTCAATTAATAAAACACACACACACACACACACATATATATATATATATGTATGTATATATATATATATATATATATATATATATATATATATATATATATATATATACATATATGTATATATATATATTATATTTATAAATACCCCTATATTATTAATATTTACACATATCCCCCATTTCCGGTGTCCTACTTTTTGGAATATGTTGTTTCCACGTTTCGACGTGTCCTCGTTCCTATATCTATGCAACATAGGTTAGGGCTGCAGAGCCAGGACAAAGACATTTGACATAGGTGCACACTGCATGTAATTTTTCTTACAGCTCAAATGTACCCACATAACCAATCTTCTTGGGATTACTAACAAGAAGTAAATGTATTGGATCTCCTTTTCGTATGTTGTCTGAGTTTCTTGCTCATTGAAGCTTGTGTGCATTATATCCAGTTTTATATATTCTGACCTTATAGAAAGGATACAAATGGATGATTTCTTCTTAGGAACTATCACTAAAGTTTACTTACATACATCTACAGTCGGTTTCTCATAAAATGTTTCTCGATAGGAAGACAAATACCAAGCAATTAAACCAAATTTTTGGAAACATAATCTGCGAATCAGTGGTTTTATAATATGCAAGAACACTGTTTAACTTAATTTCATGTTGGGGCACAATCCTGATAGTGCCAAAAATTCCTTCCAGCAATAAACTAATATCCGTTGACACGATTTTAGGAAATGTGATATGTTTATCAAGCACAGGCCATTCCTTCTCTTTATTTGTCATTTCACATTATTTTCCTGTACTTTTGTCACTGACCGTGTAAAGTTCCGTCCTTTCTGTGTGCAGATTACATTTAGCCTTCTTTTCTCCCTTGTCATCGCTTTCATATCGGATGCTTTGAGCACCACAGCTGACAAGGCGTCTGTATTGTCTAATGATGCTTCTTTTAGGCGTGAATTTAACGAGATTGTAAGATAAGACGTGCAGACATGTCTCATACTGTATTTTTGTCTATGTCAATTTAAACCTTATGTGATGTAATGCTTCCTTATAAGGTGATGGTTGCTGGAAATGATCCTGTAGTGGAAGGCTTTGTTGATTGTGTGCGGCTTGCATGGGTTGTACATTTGATTTTGGTACAAGATGGAAATGATGTGGGAGAGATAGCAGCTAGTCCTTTGTCTACTGATACAAAAAGTGTTTTCTCATGCCTGGAAGTTATTTTTGCCAATAACAGTTTCCAGTTTTGGCTTGATATGATTCTTCACAGTGCAGCATATCAGGTTTGATTAATCTTTATATTGGATTGTTTTACTGGTAAATGAAGCAATACTGAACTCGTCAGATTCCAATTTAATTATAAGGGTGATTAGGTTTCTGAGCCCCTTAATTTTTATTTTTAACCTTTGTCTGCAAGAGTTTTATCTGATGTCTCTTCAAGTAATGTTACACTGAATCCTCATGTGGTACCTTCTCAAATAGATGGATTCCTTATACAACCGTTGTTTTATATTCCCATCTCTTATGATGGAGATTTTTTAATTAAAGGATGTATGCCATCTCATGCTTGAATAGCTTAGTGCTACGTGTGAGTGTTTGTTTCTTATATCTTTTAGTCATGTTTTTTGTTGATGTACTGTACGTTCAATCCAGGATTTCTTGTATCTATTTCCTTGAACATCATTTATGATGTTTGATTGATTAGGATGCAAGATTGTTTTTCTGTATCAATCTTCTTGAACATGTCCTAAATTTCAGTTTTGTGTTTTTGTACAGAATGAAGACGAGGATGTGGTCTTTATGTATAATGCTTATCTTCACAAGCTAATGACATGCTTTCTTTCTCATCCGCTTGGTAGAGACAAGGTTGGTTGAATTAGGTTGCCTTTGAACTCATGCATCAATTATTATTGAATATTGAGAGCAGTGGTTGGGATTTATCTTGTTTGTCTATGTTTGCAAGCATGGTATTGATAGTTAGTAGGGTGGGAGTTATCTGAGATTGAGATTGATTGTTAAGTGGAGAGTAACACCCGGTTTTCTCTTGTTGACGAGTTCCGTTAAGGTTTTATTATAAATTGTAATGACGCTGGAGATGTGATGTGTCATATTTGATGAAACATTGTGTCTACATTAATTAAGTATTATTAACATGAAATTATTAAGATCAAATTTCTTTACAGCAAGAGAACATGAATATAGATACGCTTGGCTTGTAAATTAGGTAAATGTCCTCTGTTGAAGAAACAATCCCAAGCCATCAATTAAGATGGTTTCGGCACATTTAATTATAGTAGTGGTCCACTAATTTGGACTGTGATTTGGAGCGTTGTGGCTTAACTTTGTAGATGGTCTTTGAGGAGTGCTATGGATCCATGTACTACTGACACTAGTCAGGGACGGCTTTTTTGAGTTGAATTTTAGACAACATTGACACCGAAGTCTTTTATTTACATAGTATGATTTCATTGTAGCTGCTGTATTGTTATAATTTCAATGTGTTATAGGAGCATGCTTAGCATTTTTTTATGCTGAAATTTGCTGATTTGATTCAAAAATTTTGTAGGTAAAAGAAACGAAGGAGAAAGCTATGGCTATGCTTAGTCCATACCGTACTGCCTCACATAATCAGATTATCGAAGGTAGTGGCCATCCACAAGAAACATATGAAATTGGGAGGCAACCTTTTGTTTCCGTTTTGGAGTTTGTGAGTGAAATTTATCAGGTCAGGATGCTATTCCTTTTGTAAATGGCTCATGAGAATTATTGACTCTTTTATTTATGTATCTTTATGTTTTGAACTATTTCTAGTAATTTGTTAGCAAATACTATTGAGTCTTCATTTTCCATGAATCATGAACTCTGTTGAAGGTCAAATATGAAAGTGTTGTCTGTGAGTCACTAATTACCAACCTGTACTCCGGTTCTGTTTGTTAAAAATCAAAATCACATCAGGATGGCTGGGATTGTGAGGTATGCATGATTCTCGGATAACAGAATATTTGATAATATCTAAGTTGATATGTGTGATTTTCTTCAAGTAATATATATTCTACATGTCTTTTAAACCTGTATATATAGGTCATATTGTATGTGGGATGATATGGGAGAACAATTCAAAGTGTTATTTTAATTTGGCACTTTATTCGTGGATGTAGGCCAAATGGCCGAACCACATTACATCTCTGGGATACTCTCTCGCTCTCTATCCTTTTAGATCCCTGTACGCTGTAACTAAAATTCAGTACTTTCCCAGAAGGAACCTCAGCTATTGTCTGGTAATGACGTTATTTGGACGTTCGTGAAGTTCTCTGGTGAGGATCATACTAATTTTCAAACTCTCGTAGCATTCTTGAAAATGCTGAGTACCTTGGTATGTGAAGTGAATATCATCTCTGTTTACTGTTGATTACCCTACTAAAATATTGAATTCGATTTCATTCGTTTGCCTGTTTGGTGTTGCTTCCTTCAATTAGGCTCGTAATCCGGAGGGCGCCTCCAAAGTTTTTGAGTTGCTTCAGGGGAAAACGTTCCGCTCTATCGGTTGGAGTACCTTATTTGAAGGTTTATCTATGTACGAGGACAAGTTCAAACAATCTGTTCAGAGTCCAGGAGCACTACTGCCGGAGTTTCAGGAAGGAGATGCAAGAGCACTAGTTGCTTATTTGAATGTTCTACAACAGGTAAAATAGTGAATATGTATTACACTCAATATGCACCTCTCTGGATACACTCGATCTCTACTCTAGAATTAGTTCTCTTTGTTGTTTCCCATTTTTTTTAACTTCTCTTTCCACTTAATTTGAGGAAGAGCTGTTTGAAGATATATTACCTTCAGTCAGTACTTACCTTCCAAAATGTCTTCATTAGTGAAGAAAATGTCTTTACAAATGTAGCAGTGCTTGTGGAATATATTATGAACTTATTATATATTCTAACCTAGCATTTTTCATTTGATCTCTATATTGAAGATCATTCAGGACAGTCCGTTAATGTGGAAGTTAAAGGTGGCCCTGGAAATAGGATAAAGTTTGGAAAGATAAGTAGGAAAGAGAGAAAGTAAAATAAGGAGATTAGGCTAAAAAGTAGAACTTTCTGATCACACTGAAGCTGAAAAAGACCTTCAAATATAACTGGTCTTCCAAGAATCTTCTATGGTGTAAAGTTACGGATTAACATTTAAATAAAGTCAACAGAGTTTCAAGTCTGGACATTGAAATTGCAAAATTTTCAGAGGAGATAAATTGTTCCGTTAATGTTATGGGTCGAGAGAAAATAGATGTACTAGTATTCTTCTCTGCACATATTCCTACGTTGAAAATAACTAGGAAACACTAGGAGCAAGGAAATCCGTTTCAAATCAGATTTCGTTTTCCGGACAAGAAAAGTACTCCAAAATGTTGAAATCTTTACAATGAAAGAAAATAAAGAAACTCTGTATGTTTAGCAACCTACAAATAATCCAGAGATGGTAAAATCACCAATCCCTGAACTTGTTTACTGTCTCATCCTGATGTTTAATCCATATTGATGATCTTCTCTGTCTTTGCTTTCTATCATAAATTTCTATAGCCTGAGATCTTTCGGAAGATCTTAAAAATACATCCTTGTTGCTATATCCTAAACCTGTCCTTATGCCCATTCAAAATTCTTTCATGATACTGTCTAGAAATTAAGAATTACCTAGATAAAGAATTATCTAGCTGTTTCTTATATCAGTTTCTAAGTAACGCTATCTTGATTTAATATCTAAGCACACTGAGTTGCAGGTGTTTTTTGGCTTATCAGTTCATTTGATATCATGTTTTTACCTAGCATATCTTATAATTATCTTGTAACCTTTCTTCTTGTTGCATGCTATATTGTATTCTTCTTTGCCGTTTATTTGCATATCCTTTCATTTTTTTCCTTATTTTTCTGTGACTACATCTACAAGTTACTAATCGTTTTAGCTTCCTTTTTCGTTTTTCATTTGTTAATTGCCATTTTCTCAGTCTACATTGATTGTATCCTGTCTGGGTAATGTTTTTTAATCAGGAGTGATCTTGTGCTACTGATTTTTTTTATGTTTCTGTGTAATGGATCTCAGTTTTCTTCACTTCATTGCATTTGATAATGAATTGTTATTAGTATTTGACATATATCTGATCAATTTGTTTTTGTTGTATCCATTAAAATTATTTGTTAAAGAAATTCTTTGGTGTTTCTTTTTATCCTTTTCAGTCTCGATTTCAGAAATGGGTAAATACAGAAATGTGTTAAGCATAAAAAAACCTGTAAAAACTTTGCATATGTTGATCAAACCAGTGAAGCGGTATACACAGAAAGCGTCTATATTCTCCCACATAAATTTAAGCAGTTGGCATGTCCATCAGATTATGGGTGACAGCTTGAGCTCATCGTTAATCTTGAGACGCTGATTTTGAACTTTGAAGCACTTGGCTCTTTGATCTTAGAGAGTGTTATAATGTTAATGATGATGGTCTTAAATATCATTCTCTAATATGTATTTTTTAGCTAGTAGTGTCTATCTGAGCCAGGAATCCTGACTATATTAGTGTGAATTATTGGAAGCCCGGCATAAAAAAATTTACTCTGATAAACCGGGGTTCTATTTGCATTGAAGTTTCTATCAACTCTCAGTTTTTTGGATTGTGTATCCTTATACTTGGCTTGGATTTTGCTTCTTAAAGTTGTCGTGTCTATATATTTACACATTCAATAGTTTCATAGTATCATGGAAAACCATTCAACAAAAGGTAGTAACCGTGTTTGTAAATGATATTGAAGTCTGAATACTTGGTTAAATTTTGTCTTTTCCTGCAATATAGGTTGTGGAAAATGGTAGTCCCATTGAGAGGAAGAACTGGTTTCCAGATATTGAGCCACTGTTCAAACTCCTCAGTTACGAGAATGTTCCTCCTTATCTCAAGGTCGGTCTCATCGATTTTGCTTTTTCTATTCATGTTTTCAGTTTTAAATTTTGTTTAATGGCATTAAAAAAATGTTTCCACTCGGTTCTGGGCCTGACTATCTTCTTCATCTACGTCCTATAGGGTGCTCTTCGTAATGCCATTGCTACATTCGTCCATGTATCTCCTATTATGAAAGATACAATTTGGAGGTACTTGGAGCAGTATGACCTACCAGTGGTTGTTGGGCCTCATGCTGGGAACACTGGATATGCAATGGACACCCAGGTAGTGTAACACTCCCTTTTCTCCCATTGCACAGGTGTTGTGATTTTGGAAATAATATCCATTTTCCCTTTAAGAGTAACTGTAAAACCAATTTTCCGAAGTAAATGAACAGTAATTGTGACATTTTCGGAACTCAAAATCCTGCTTGCATTAGTAAGCGCTAAGTTTAATACAGCACAAAGGACATTTCTTGAAATGCTTAGTTTTGAAAAGACCAAAATATTTTATTGATCATAAATTATAATCCGACTTGAGAAACACAGCTTCATGTACTAAAATACATCCTTAGAGAGGAAAAATTTTACATCAAAAACTGGAAATGAATTTACAATCTTTATTGAACTTTTTTCCTTACAAAACAAAAATCATAACAGAGTGTCTTTGCCGAAGCAATTCAGAGTACACTTATCAAAACATAACAACAAGAAGCCTAGCGTATAAACACAATTTTGTCTGACCTCTTCGTGTCCTGGAGCAACTATACACGTTCACATTATCCCCAGTTGCATCATAAACATCTAACTAGCTAAAGGTACAGTAAGAAAGTGTGCTAAAATAACAAATAGCACATAACACATAATATCTCATTATATAGAATATAATCCATAGTATTCAAAGTTTTGGTCCTGTATGTTACTAATGCGTAGGAATTGAGTCCTTTAAGTTGTCGTATTTCAATTTTACATGCAATAACGTAGCAAATTTAGCATTTTTGGTCTTATTACATTTGAACTTTGAATTTTACCTGTTTAATGATTTAGTTCACAAACTTGCCAAAAACTATTTATTTGGACGCTTAAAAATTACAAATGCTCCTCTAACTTGGTTTATAAATCCGTACTCTTACATAATCAAAGTCAAGGCTAAGTTGGATGGTGAATATATAATTTTTAAGCGTTCATATATAAGTATCATGTTTCTTTGACGCGTCATAACTCATAAATTAAAAAAGGATCATGCAAAATAGGGCCAAAAATACCATACTTGAAAAGTTATTGCTTGTGAAATTGAAACATGACAAATTAGAGGATGAAATCCGTAAATAGGCCAACATAGAGGACCGAAATTACAATTTTCCCAATCCATATTCATATAATGCATCAGCAGATTTCTGCTTTCTGTCTGCAATGAATTCCTTTCAAATCCCTTACTTTGAAAATTCGATAGCTTTAAAGAATCCTCCGTAATGCAAAATTAGTTTCATACTTGAATCATTTATTTCGTGCATTTGTGTCCATTGAAGTGTGGTACTCAACTGATACCGATTGGCTGTGGTTTTCTGATTCAGTTCCTTCATTCATAATTACACGGCTTTCCTTATTTGGAATCTTCAGCCTCTGGTATTCTTCATGGATATCTGAAAGCAGGAAAATTAGTGTGACAGCCTTAAGCTGTTCTGCCTTCCTACTTTTTTGACTGAATTTGCTGATAAGAAACCGGTTGTTTCAGTTGGGGAAGAGTGCTTAGTTTCTATATTTCTGTTCTATTTTGACTACATATTACTCAAATGATTAATATCTAATAGTCTGAAGGTGTTTATTTTATGTTTTTAACTGTAGATGAATCTCAGTGCTTCTTCATATTGATGAATTATATTTTTATGCTCTTGTATAACAGGTTTATGATATGAGATTTGAGTTAAATGAGATTGAAGCACGGAGGGAGAAATACCCCTCAACCATATCATTTATCAATCTATTAAATACCCTTATTGCTGAAGAAAGGGATGCCAGCGACAGAGGACGTAGGTATTGACTAATGAAATTCTATTATGTTATCATTCCTTATGGTGAAATTTTTCCTCTGACAACTTCATCTGTTTGGCAGATTTATTGGCATCTTCAGATTTGTATATGATCATGTATTTGGTCCATTCCCCCAGAGAGCCTATGCAGATCCTTGTGAGAAATGGCAACTAGTTGTAGCTTGTCTTAAGCATTTTCAGATGTGAGTTGTGTTTATCATTCCAGAATTAAGTATTCCTTAGATTCTCGTCGTGAGATCTTACTCTTTTTTGGGATATATTTTATTTTTCATTGTCATTGGTATTTAGCATTCTGAACTGAAGTTCTAAATTTAATTTGTTACTTTTGCGTCAATGTGCAATTATTATCATGTTAAGGATGTTGAGCAAGTATGATGTTGGAGAAGAAGATATTGATGCTGTTACTGATCAATCTCAAATTACAATCTTGGGACAGTCTTCTCCGATTCATCATATGCAGCTTCCTGTTATAGAAGTTATGAAGGTATTGACCTCAGATTCTTGTTCATACACCTTTTTTTTTACTATTATTATTACTTTGATGACGTTTCGATCCTATTATGTAGTTTTATCTCTTTTTCCATTTTTGACATGTGATTGTTTGGGCGGTAAATCTTCTACGTCGCTTCTTTTATTAGGAGTCGTGTTTTTATAGTTCTAGCTCTATGTCAAAGGAAGAGGAATTAAACTTTCGGTCTTCTACTGTTCTTAGATTTCTCGGTTGTCACTCTATATTACCAATCAGGGTGCCTCTTCATTGATGGAATTGTCTAAACATTAATTATTTGTCGACCATGAATACAAATCACAGTGATTTAAATATACATCCTCATTTTAGTAATTTTACTCCCTATCATGTCTCAAATGTGTGAACTTAAGATTAAATCAAAGTTGGATTTGAGGAAAGCGTACTCAAGCCTCAAGGTGGCTTTGCTCGAATCAGCATTATGTTTATATAAGCATACATTTTGGATGAAACGCGTTACTCTGGAACGAAGTTTAATATTAAAATAAATAGTAGATGAAGCAGAACATGGGAAGACAAGCAGATGTAGTTGAAATTACTTGCTCAAAGGAATTGCTGTGCTATCATATTATACATCAGCATGCTGTGCACCCCCCCAAACAAGAATGTTCTCAAATAGTGCTGAAGAAAATATTTGCTATTGAAAGTTCTGGCACTAGCCGGATCAGAAATGCCATATTCAAGGAAAATATGGACATTTGTTTAAAATCTTTCCTTTCGTGTTCTTACCAAATTATGTTCTTTGTTCTAGTGAACAAGGATCTACAGAATACTTCCAGTAAGTTTAAAACAACCATATCCATGTTACTTTACATATTTACCATAAGGAAAGATCATGAACATCTTTTGTTTTACTTCAGGATATACAATATCCAGTAAAAATAACTTTTCGAGCTTCCTTCCATCTGGAATGAACGGTTGAGACCTTGTGGAGCCTTAGGCCGTGTCATGATTTCCTCTAGATGGCCTTTAGTTCTTTGTGCACCCCTGATGATCTTCTATGAGAAGAGAGTGCCTGCAATTAAAGAAGCAAGAAGCCTTTAAACTCCACTGCGTAGCTATCCAGATAGTTAGGAATAGTACTGGTTCAAAGAGCTTGCAATATAAAAAATAGTTGTTACAATTTTCATTTCCAGGATAAAAAGGAAACAAGTGTTGCAAGGGGTGTTGCTACACAAAACTAGATTGTAGTTTTGTCTGTTTGAGCAGTTTAACAATTTTTCTTTGTCTGTGAGTCACATTTTCATGTATAGGTGTATCCTTATTTTTCACTAATTTTGGGGCTTAACTTAGTTGTTTGTTCATTTAAGAAAGCGTAGCTGGAACCTCTGAGCTCCTTAGAAATTTAGTCATCTAAAGAAAGAAAATATTGAACAGTTATGAATTTCGTTGAGATTAGATTACTTTACTGAACACGAGATTACCCTGACATGCTATGTAAGTATATACCTGTCAGCTGGAGTATCTTAAATTGAAGAATGTGAAAATTCCTGCAATAAAACATAGCCCTCTTCTACAAGTATGGAAAGAGAGGTTAAACAGTAGAACTATAATGTGCTTCCCAGGAAACTGCAGCCGTAACTAAGCAATTTATCTATTTGATATATTATTACATTCCACCATGAACCCTTGGCATTTTTACCAAGCTGTGCTCCATGCTCTAAAGCTTCTCTGAATTTCAATTGTGTTTTCAATCCTAGTTTTCTTCCATCTTTTCTGAACTGCTATAGACAGTCATGCAGTTTGCTTCTCTGTTGTATTTCAATTACAATAGTCTGCATATCTTTTTCAATTTGGTGCATCACCTAACTACTTTTCTGCCTCAGTGATATTTTCCGATACTTAAGTAGTTCTGTTATGAAACAAATTCTTATGAGGTAAACATTTGTTGCTGTGCAGGATTTTATGAGTGGGAAAACCCTGTTTCGAAATTTGATGGGTATTATTTTACAAGGAGTTAATTTTCTAATCACCGAACGTACGAATCAAATTTATGGGCAACTGCTTGAAAATGCTGTTCTGCTTTCTTTGGAAATCATCATTCTTGTTATGGAGAAAGATTCGGTTGTTTCTGATTTCTGGCGCCCTCTGTATCAGGTATTTGCGCCAAACTCTTGTCAGTAAATTATCTTCAGTAGTTCAATTTTCCTCAGATTTCAAATGGTGATTTGTGAGGCGAGCATGTGCTTTCAGTTTGTGAAAAATTCCTCTGTAATATGTCTAATAGCTGTTGTTTCTGTCAAGAAGTTGCTTTGGATAAAGTTGATTTAGGATTTTAAATTAATTATGGATTTCCTGAACAACAGATTGAACTAGTAATTAGAGCATATCGAGAAATATAAGTATAATCTCAAATTCAGTTTACATCTCATTTGAAGGTTTAAATAACACTAATACGTGTAATAGTTCTAATAGAATGTATGAGCGCCTCATTTCAGTCTCATATTTCTAATAATTTAAACTTCAGCTACAATACTTTACTGAAAAGTTCAATTTTATATGATGGTCGTCCCTGTTATCATTGTCCATATAGTTGAGGTCCCCGCACCTACACCCCCTCCTTCGGGAGATGAATCTTGGATGAAAAGCTATGGATATCGGATAATTATAATTTGTCACTTGTTACTCATAGAGTGAATAAATTGCAATCCAGACATGGAGTTTTGCCATCAATGATATCTGAAACTCTCTTGTTAGCTTACAGTTGATTACCTTGGGATAAAATATAACACTTATCTGTGTGTCTGTAGAACAGATAATGCACTTTTCATTGTTCTTGCAGTTTATCAGTTTTATCTTTTACAATTTTAAAGTAATGCTTATGTTACCATGTATATCTGTGTTCATGCTGATACATCATTCATCCCTGAAGTAGGATCTTGAACAGCAATTCCCCTAATTTATTATTTCAATGCAGCCTTTGGATGTCGTACTCTCTCAAGATCATAATCAGATTGTAGTTTTGCTGGAATATGTCAGATATGATTTTCAGCCGCAGATTCAGCTGTGTTCCGTCAAAATATTGAGTATTTTGAGGCAACCTTCCCATTTTCTCTCTCCTTATCCTCACATATGGTTATATTCGTTGATAATGCTTTATGGTGAATAACAATTGTTTTATTGCATGCAGTTCCCGGATGGTTGGGCTTTCACAGTTGCTATTGAAATCAAATTCTGCTATTGGTTTGATTGAAGATTACGCTGCCTGCTTGGAGCTACGATCTGAAGAGTGTCAAATTATTGAAGACAGCAGTGTAGATCCTGGTGTTCTGATTATGCAAGTAAGCTTTTATTTCTGCCAAATCTTTTCTTTGCATCAATTGTGGATGTCCCAAGTTATAGTTTGTTAATTTCTCAAGTTGTGGGTTCAATCAATATTCTCTAAAAACGATTGCAGGATAAATCTGGGCACAAACAGTATAATAATGCTCTCCAAAAAAATTAATGTGCTGAATAATTAGTTTAATCATTATCATGTGACCTAAGTAGAATGCACTTCACTAGTAATCTAAAGAATGTCAGTTTGGAGGTGTATGCAAGACAGTTTTTTAGTGGTTAGGATACTTTAATCCGAATTGGTTTGTATGCATGGAAAAGAACTTTTGGGTCTCTGATCAGTTTTACCGGTAATGTTTTTTTTTATTGATTTATTCTCTTATCCGATTTTCTCAATTCTGAATGTGCTGCTTGCGAAGCTTGTTCAAAATATTAGTATTCTTACTTTCGTAACTCGTGAGTTTTAACTGAAGACATTGACAAGTTTAAAAACACAGCCAGGATTATGTTAAGAAATAGACTTTCAGTTTATTTAGTACAAAAAAACATCTTGGACTGAAATGTATTTTTCCAGTTTCCAACTCAGTAAACAGAGTTCAGATATGGCAACGAAGTTTGAGAGAGATAAAGATAGAGAGGCACATGTGCAAGATCTGCCAGAGCTCAGGAGGTAAGACTGACTGAGTCTGTGCTCCAGAGTTGAGGGAGTCTGGAGGAGAGAGGGAGATGAGGGAAAAATATGGATGTAGGTAGTGTAGTTGGAAGAGCCACAAACAAGAGGGACTTGAGAGATCAGGGAGTTGAAGTACGAGTAAGAGAGAGGTGAGATGAGCGTCAGAGTGTGGAATGAAATTGAAATAGGCAAGCATAATGTAGATGTTTGGGCACTTGGAACCCATATTCATATATCTACATAACTTGTTTTTTAGGATACCATATGACAAGACCTATGAAATAGGGCTATTATTTCAATATTCCATGAAAATAGTTTCAAATTTGAAACATATTATAGCTCTTATTCTAAAATTCGGCCTCTAATTTTTTTTGGTAAGCTTGAGAACTTAGAGAGAGAGTTCTCAGTCTTAACCCACCGAACAACTTCTCTAGAATTTTAAAATTATTTATTTAATTATTATTATTATTGTTCTTATTATTCTTATTATTATTGTTAATTGATAGTTTAATGACTCATGAGTTTGAAGCTGGAAAATGTGACAAAGAGCTTGAAATATAAAAACATACTAAAAATGAAAAACATGGATGGCATATGGAAGTAGCAACAAAATTATTCTTATCATGTTTTATTTTGATGTTACATTTTTAGGTAGGAAGTATATTGTAGGTAATATGTTAAATAATAAACAAGAATATATATATTTTTCTTTTAAGATATTTTTTTATTTCTTTTAATCACATAAATTTTTTTTTTTAATTTGTAAACTTGGAATATGATTTAGTGATTGATATTTACCAATTTGTATTTAAAACCAATTTGTATGTGGCCTATTATAAATAGTGACTCGTGGCTATCCGAATTTTGGTTGAAATTATGTTGGTATTCACTTAAAATTTTAAATTGTTCTAGTATGGTTTTTTTGTATGAGATACTCCTAATTTTCTGAATTCAAATAAATAAATCAGATTCAAATTGAATTTAGATAGGGATAGAAAAGGATTAGTACTTTTTCGCGTCGAAGAATTTAGACCTAAAATTAAGGTCCTGTTGGTTCATTTCGAAATTAAATTGTAGTCGTTCTGATATTGCCACTTTTCACGGGTATTCACTCGGATCTCATCCCTAAGTCAAGAGTACTATATTTTTTTGTCAGTTATGTTTATAGCACATAGAAATACCTAATATTCTTTAATATTGCCCTTAAACTTACATGGTTGGCTGAAGTTGCTTTACTGTTAATTCTATATTTAATGCATTTATGATCTATTTATGAAATTACAATAGTCGTAACGTTTCCAAATGCAGCTGCTTATCGATAATATCAATAGACCAGCCCCAAATATCACTCATCTTTTGCTAAAATTTGATGTTGATAGCCCTGTTGAAAGGACATTGCTTCAGCCAAAATTTCACTACAGGTTGTTATTTATACCATTTATTAAGAATTTTTCTACTGCAAGTTCTTGGAGATTCATCTGAATTTCGTGTGTTACTAGTAAACACATCACATGCATCTTTTTTTTTTTGTCAATTGTAGTTGTTTGAAGGTCATTCTTGATATTTTGGATAAGCTTTTGAAGCCTGACGTCAATGCATTGCTTCACGAATTTGGTTTTCAGGTTTGCAAGCTTCAAAACAATGTTTCTGTTTCTTGTTTATGATTTACTGAAGTGGTGTATTGGTGTCATCTCATTGTATATTTGTTAGTTAAAATTAAGTATTTATTGCAGCTCCTTTATGAATTATGCGTGGATCCACTGACATCTGCTCCTATTATGGATTTGTTGTCTACCAAGAAGTACCATTTCTTTGTCAAGGTCTTAATCTTCTGCCATGTAATGTTTGATAGTTTTATTTCTAATCAATGACCAGCCTTGTGCTAATGTTCTATTGTCTACAATAATGTCATACAATTCAGCACCTTAATTCAGTTGGTATCGCGCCCCTTCCTAAAAGGACTTGCAGTCAGGCACTTCGTATCAGCTCGCTGCATCAGGTTTTTGTTTTTAGTCATTCTGTAACTTTTTGCATATTCCACAGAGCATGCAAGTGTGATAGTGTGCTTGTTCATGCGTATGGATGCTCTTTCATATTTTACTTTCTCGATATTTAATTTCGAAAAGATACAAAGCTCTTAAATGATTCTAACCTTTGCTTATGGGAAATAATTTCTTGTCCCTAAATTCTATGTTTATTGCCTGCTGTAGAGAGCTTGGTTGATGAAGCTGTTAGCGGTAGAATTACATTCAGCAGAAATTGCAGATCCTAATCATCGTGAAGCATGCCAAAATATTCTCAGTGAGTTGTTTGGCCAAAGAAATACCGAGTATGGTGTTGATCATGATGCATCTCTCTTTATCACTCAAAATGAAACTGGTTCAATCAGCAAGAGCAAGGTATAGAGTCCTCTCACGATGGCCTAATTGTGAATCTGGAAGCGATTTCTTCCTCACCTGTTTAAGTGGTTTTTTTCTCTCTAAATTATTCGAAATTCACTATGTTGTTGCGTGCATGGTTAACAAATACTTGCTATACATATTGCGTACTATCCGTTAGGAATTGAAGTATACCCACCCGATGAGCTTCATTAGAAAATAAATGTCATTTGTTATATCAATATTATACTTGAGGACTACTTTTGTGACGATATGAGAAGTAATATTCCTTTTTGAAACACCCTTTTTCTAATACAACAAATTAGGCCATTTGTTATATGATTGACGACATGATGTGTGTCTTGCCAAAAAATCATATGAGATAAACAATTTCAATTTGGAAATAGATTTTTTCCCCTCCTAGGGTGCATTTGGATCGGAGGGTTTGTGGGATGAATTTCAAATTTATAATAGCAAATTAATTGAGCTTGTTTGCATTGAATCATGAAATTTCAAACCCATAACTCTCATTTTAATTTGTTTTTTCGCGATTGTGGGGCGATTTCAAATCCCTTCCCATTTGGTTTCATTTCAAACCCTTCAATTCAAATGCACCGTTACGGAATTTCATGGTTTTCTAAGCATGGGCCCAATTTTTTTGTATATGATTCAGCACAAATCTTCTATCGTGTCTCATTTCATTTAACAAGACCAATTAATAGACATTTCATTCAACCTTTTGCACATCTAATAAGTGGTAGGTTCTTGCAGGTCCCTGTTTATAAGTACTAAAACTTTGAAGGCATTTCATTACTTAACCAATTAGTCTTGTCCATTTTTATCGATTGAAGCCTTGCTCCCGTGACTTTATTCTATTGCTTGGCGTTGAGGAATGATAACTGTAGCCTTTTTATTTCCAATCCCAGGTGCTGGAATTGCTTGAGATCGTTCAGTTTGAATCTCCTGATACCACACTGAAGTGTTCTCAGTTCGTCTCTAATTTGAAGTATTCGTCTATGGTAAGATAGACACTGTTTACATCAGTATCTTGTTTGTTTTGTCAATCATGCGATGCTATATTCTTTGCAGGCTGAGGATATACTCACTAGTCCAACAACCATGGGAAAGAGTGTCTATTATCATTCAGAACGTGGGGATCGTCTTATTGACCTAGTGTCTTTTAGAGATAGACTTTGGCAGGTGCTTTTGGTCTTCACCTCTCTCTCTCTGCATCTTCTTGTTTCCTTTATTCTTGATTTTGTGATACCGTTGGGCACAAGTCAATTGTACTAATCAGTATCAAAATTTCCACAGAAGTGGAATTTGAATAATTCTGAATTGAACTCTTTTGGGAGTGAAATTGAGTTGAATGCAATAAGAGACGCAATCCAACAATTACTAAGATGGGGCTGGAAGTACAATAAGAACCTTGAAGAACAAGCTGCTCAGCTCCATATGCTGACAAGTTGGTCCCAGATTGTTGAGGTGTGGTCTTGTGCATGTCTTCGATATCTCTTGTTCTTTAATCAAGTTACCCTTTATCCCAGGATTTTGTTGGGGTGGCGGTTTGAGGGTGGTTTGTTGCATTTTTTACTTTTCTTACCTATGCATAAATATCTGTTCTTGATTCACACACACACACACACACACACACACACACACACACACACACACACACACACACACACACACACATATATATATATATATATATACATACATATATATATACATATATATACATACATATATATATACATATATATACATACATATATATATACATATATATACATACATATATATATACATATATATACATACATATATATATACATATATATACATACATATATATACATATATATACATACATATATATATACATATATATACATATATATATATATACATATATATATATATATATACATATATATATATATACATATATATATATATACATATATATATATATATACATATATATATATATATATATATATATATATATATATATATATATATATATATATATATATATATATATATATATATATATATATATATATATATATATATATATATATATATATATATATATATATATATATATATATATATATATATATATATATATATATATATATATATATATATATATATATATATATATATATATATATATATATATATATATATATATATATATATATATATATATATATATATACATATATATACATATATATATATATACATATATATATATATATATATATATATATATATATATATATATATTTCTTAATTGATTTGATTTTAAAATCATAACTTCTACAATAATTAACATCATATGAAGACGACAATATGATTACAAGTTGGTAAAAGAGTTATTTTTGCTTTTAAGAAGTTACTTATATGTCAGTTGTTATAATCAGTGATCTACCTGTAACCTCTTTCAGTGTTTTGCTTATGCTATTATTCTTATTTCCTTCTACAGATTTCTGCTTCTCAAAAGATTTCATCCCTTGAAAACCGATCGGATATACTATTTCAGTAAGCTCGTCTCTTGTACTATGCTATCCATAGACTTCACTTTACTCACCCCAGAGCCACATGTGAACAGGTTATTAGATGCCTCATTGAATTTTTCTGGTTCTCCTGACTGTTCCCTAAGGATGGCACAAATTTTGACCCAGGTTGGTAACTTAATGATCAATTCTGGATTCTGCTTTATTTATTTTCTTCATTTTCTATTTTTCATGAATATTAACGACTTCTGATAATTTTCAAGGTTGGACTCACTTGCATGGCAAAACTACGTGATGAAAGATTTGCACTCCCAAGTGACTTAACTTCTGAGACAATTACATGTCTTCACATTATTATGACGAAACAATTATCAAATGGGGCTTGCCAATCTATTTTGTTCAAGCTCATTTTAGCAGTTCTTAGACGTGAATCTTCAGAAACATTGAGAAGGCGGTATTGACATTTGACTAAGAAACATTGCCTCTATTTCAATGTGCTGAAAAAGGGAAGACATATTTGACCTTTCTGTTATTGTTTAATCCAGCCAATATGCTCTGCTTCTGAGCTATTTCCAGTACTGTCGGCACGTGCTTGATTCAGATGTTCGGACGACAATTCTAGAGTTCTTGTCAGTTGACGAGCAAGACAACGGAGATTTGGATCTGGAAAAGGTTTCAACAATTCTTAACCTTTAATTTTTCTCTAATCTCACTTCTTCAATTCCTGTAATCCCGAGCACGCTTTTTGTAGATGGATAAAGATCAGGCTGAATTGGCACATGCAAACTTCACAATCCTAAGAAAGGAAGAGCAGCCAATTCTTAACCTGGTTGGTGGTTTGAAATTATTCTCCTCCCTCTCGGTTTTATTTTCTTTCATATCTCTTCTTTGTACCCACATTTTTTATAGATCCCAGTTACTTCATTGACAGTTTACAACATGTTCTATCTAACATATATTTGAGCCCCGTGGGTAAAATCAGAAATTATGTGATTCTTTTATCTGTGAGCTCTAGGATTCTTGTAAAGTGAGTTGCTATAATTACAGTTTTGAGTTGAATCAGAAACAAAAATGGATCCTGATGGTCTCTAGCTTTTTTTTTTTTTTTTTTTAAACTTACTGATGAAGTAGTTGCTTGATACAATGATGACAAAATAAGTTGCATCATGGAAAGAAGCTACATAAGGTGTTAAAGTATGCTTTGCATGACCTCAATAAAGGAATGTTAAATGAGAAGGGATACACTAGCTAGGTCCATTAAATAGGTGTCATGTTTTTCGGGGGTATATTTTGTGTGCACAGCTGATTCCAGAAGAATCTTCACAATAACATTATTTCCAATGCTTATCCTTTTTTCCTTTTTTTTTTTTTTTTTTTTTTTGCTTAGCAGTTTCTTGCCTTGGCTTACTAATATGTACACAAACAAAATTGGTCTAACGGTTTTGATTTGTCATTGTTAAAGGACATAATGCCTTGAATTTCATCTGTCTATGTTAAGAACAGTTTTATGTCTCAAGACGCGCAATTACGTATTGGACAGTGGCATTACTGGGTTTAGGGGTTGTTAAATGATCATGTAATTTGATAGGAATAATTGATCTTTTGTTCTGAAATACATTCATATCATGAAATCATATGTTTTGGTATTATGTGCAAGTTATGGTTGAGTCGGTTATGCTCCAAGGGATATCTGTAGGCACCATATCAGTTGCCACAAGTTTTGGAGCAATAGTTAAAAGTCGGATTCTTGTTCTGTATCGAATCGTTTATAAACCAAGTGGCTGAGAGCCATTTAATATCATAGTTGCTGATCTAAAAAGTGAATGCAAGATATTTTGTTTATTGGTCGAGTAGCATAGAGAGAATTTTCAATCTTATAAATTGCTCCTTTATTTTTATGTTTCTTCTGATAGTTTGGCGTGGTTTTCCATCCATTTAGAAACAAGTATATAACAATAATCAGCCAAATATTTTGATATTTGCACAAGATTCTGTTTCACGATTGAAACTTTTTCTCTTGTTCTCTGCTTTGTATCTCATTATTTCCTGTTTTATATTTAGGTCATAAAAGATGCTACTCAGGGCAGTGAATCTGTGAAAACTATGTCACTATATGTCATAGATGCATTGATTTGTGTAGATCATGAGAAGTTTTTCTTGAGTCAACTTCAGAGTAGAGGTTTCTTGAGGAGCTGCTTCTTGAACATGAGCAATTTTTCGTACCAGGTACAGGACCCTAACCTTGTGAAATTCTGAAAATGTCTGGGTATTTTTGTTATAGTATTCTTGCTATCTTCAGGTCAGACTGATGTTTTGACTTGGCTGTTAAAAATGTGTGGATATTTCTATTGGCAAGATTTAAAATAAAAACATCGAACAACAGATGATATTCTGTTTATCAGCTTATAGAATGTCGCTGCTATTAATAGCTGATGCATCGATTCACCTGTTCCCCGAAGCATTGATCTTCGATAATAAATGTTTAATTGTACTGAGTCTGGTTTTGTTCACTTTGAGATTAGACAAAGGCAGGTATACTTCAATTTCTGTTTTTCAGGCTGAATGATATGTTCTGTATTGATCTTATATATTGAATTCCTCAATGGAACCTTAGGCCAGATTTTTGAATTCCTTTTTATGAAACTGTATATTGCTTGTTACCAGGTTTTCTAATTCACAAGTTTAACATTTTGGCGTCCTCAACATTATGCATGGTATTGTTTTCGTCCAAAAAACATATGTGCTGTAGCCCCTCCAACAATTTCCAAATTTTCCCCAATTTTCAATGTTTTTATGTGACTATTTGAAGATTTGACCGAATAATTGTGTTTCTTCTTGATCGATGTTCTTATCATGTCAACTTAGCACAGAAAATCATTAGAATAGTCATCTCAATTGTGAAAATGTGATATGGCAGCATAGCACTCCATTTCTTATTGTGCAACAAATATGTCTGGGGCAATCTGAGGTTGAATGGCATTGATGAGCGAAGACATAACCAAAGAATTCCAGATTCCTATTTATTGTAATCGGAAATAGAGATCTCAGCTTTTTTTCCTTAACATAACCCTGTGTACGCCTATAGATGTTTAACCAAGCAAGATTGTTGTTTGGTTCTACATGGGGGGTGACCTAGTTGGTGGAGCAATAGAGTGCAAAGTCAGATGACCCAAATTTGAATCCCCTTGCCAACGCTTTCTATGTTCAGCTTCTCACACATGGCTTATGCCTAGTGTGGTTTGCAAGCTAGCACTCAATCATAAACCACTAAACTAAAACCAGCGTATAGTTTTCTTTTGTTTATTTGAATTGGATAGAAGGAAAAGGTAAAGAGCCATGTCTCGACATTTTGGGAATAACATAGATGCCAAACACATAATTCTTTTTGTTGGAGAGTAAAAACGAATGCCATATCCATATTTTTAATAATATTCCCATATTCTTACAAAAGCACATGGGCAGACTTCCCATATGGTTGGGTGCGGGTTACTCCGTTATCAAAAAAGAAAATAAGATGATTGGTTTCATGAAGCTTTATAGGACTGATGTGTAGAAAAGGGCTTAAAGAATTAGTGGTGGACAACTCTTTAGCATCATTTTCCAAATAGGCAATGAAATTGAAAAAAAAAGCTAAAGCCTCTAGCCAATACCAACAACGTTGGAAATAGTAGTAACAGGCTGAAACAGTGTTGCTCGCCAGAAAATAATGACCGGAAGCAGCAACACAGACGAGGTGTTTGCCGAGCACCGTCTTTACACCTTTTTTTTCTTGCACTTCCTGGATTTTTATATTTGATAATTCTGTTTTATCTGAATATTGCAGCTCACAAATTATAAATATAGATATCGTGACACCATCACCAGCACTAACGCCTTTTAATATGTCATCACATCATGTTTTAAACATTGAGATATAAATAGTTTGTTTGTATTAAGCAGTCATGTCTGATCTATGCTGCTTCTCGGCCCTATTGTACTGTGCATTATATATAATGTATATTCTTTTCCTTCACTATTTTTTTCTGCTATTGTGTTCCTACTATTATTCAGGATGGTGGGTTTTCTTTAGATTCTATGCACCGTCTCTGCACTCTTGAAGCAGAATTTTCGTTACTGCTGCGGATTTGCCACAAATATGGAAAGTCGGGTTCACAAATTCTATTTTCTATGGGTTCTCTGCATCATATTGCATCATGCAAAGCCCTTCATCTCCCTATGAAGGTAAGCCAGTATCTAATTGTCCTTTTAACGAGTATTTCGGTATCTTCCTCGTACCCAACTGATCTTAAACAAATTATTTAACCATGCATCAGGGAAGTTTTCGACGACATGATACTAGGGTTGAGAAAAATTCCGCTGATCTTGATAAACAGCAAATGGTGGTTGCTCCTATTCTGAGATTGTTGTTTTCCTTAACTTCGCTGGTCGAGACTTCCGAGTTATTTGAGGTTAGACAATCCAAGAATGTTTTATAAACAACTTATGCTAAACATTTATGTTTTTCTTGTTAATCCTAACAGATTTCCTTTGGGCTTTAGCGAAGTTGCAGTCTAGATTATATGATATTATGCGTCCTGTTGAATTATTTACTGTTTCTTAGAACATTGCAGTAGCAAGCTAGCGATTTATAATGAAGGACGAAATACTATGTTCTGCCTAGAAATTTTGCATAGATAAGAACTTAAACTACTTCATCTGGTGAGGCTGTTTTGCTTTTGGACACTTGTTAAACTCTTGAATTGGCAGCATAACAAATTGTTTCTTTCTGTCTTCATAAAACTGTGTTCTCTATAGAAATTGATTGTAGTGAACATAGTGTTACTTTGACAATTAGTGCAATTTTCTTTCATTAGCAAGGAAAATATTAAGATAGCTCAATCTAGGCGATTGAACATTTCTTGCGAATATATGTTTCTATGTGAAAGGAAGAAATATGCATGACACTACGAATATTATAACACTTCAGAAAATTGGAAGCTTCAACAGTATAGTTGGATGTTTGTTCTAACTTAAGCTACTCCGAAAATTGAACAATATCAGGGAATTATAACACTGTCCATTTTGTCGGAACCTTCTCCTTTGAAATTTAATGAGTGTTGAAGGAAAAAAAAATGCATTGGAAATGATCTGTTGCAATGTTACATGTTTGCATATTTGGTTTATGCATCAAACCAGAGCATCAAATTTTTTCATTACTTTTATTAATTTATTCACTTGCAAGTACTGAAGTGTTGGTTTCCATTTCTTTTACCCTAGATATTCCAAATCTATTTTCTTCCCTGAATTTAGGAGTATGGGAACATATTCCAGATTTTTGCAGCTTGTCACATGTTTGTCCAGGACTGGTCATGTTTTTTGAATTTTCAATATCAATTTTTCTTCAGGAAATTGTTCTATGCAGAAACTAGTTTCGCATCTATACATTTGGCTATATAACTTTTACTTTTTCATGTTATTTGGTTTTATATTTTTCCTTTAGAGTTTATCCTTGTTATTTGAATCTATGAAATTTACTCCCCTTTGTTTCTCCGTGTTCTATGAGTTAGTCGTATTTGTCTTTCTGATTGCTGGTTTCTGATAGGTGAAGAATAAAGTTGTCCGTGAAATTGTTGAATTTATCAAAGGTCATCAGCTGCTGTTTGACCAAGTCCTCCAAGAGGATATTTCAGATGCTGATGAATTGACTATGGAACTAGTCAATCATGTCGTGGGTATACTTACCAAGGTGAGGATCCTGCAAATTACTAAATCGTGTTCTTACGCCCATAAGCTGATAGGAATTTCCTGTATTACTGTCTGAAAGGTCTATTGTGACTCTCTGAAATATATGAAGACACGTACGTAGTATTCTTTGAATTTAATTGTTTCAGATGTTATTGTTGCTATGATAATTGACGCATTATTTAAGCTTTTCTTAGTTGTAGTGACTTGTTCCTTCACATGAAACTAAGCAGTTGTATGTTCGTGTTGAGTAGTTGTTATTTCTGACTAAAAAAACTAAGTGTTATTGACAAGTGCTAGAAGTTTAGGTCTTTATATTTATTAATAAGATATAAATTTCTGCCTGTTTAGTAGTTTTTATCTATCTCAATTGTTGGAAAAATGTAGATTTGAGATTTTGGCCTCCAGCCACCGTCAAACTCCTTTTTCCGACCAAAAATCGTTGACTAGACCCCTATTGTTTTACCTATTATTTTTCTGCTGTCTATATGATTATTTTTGTTTGGCATTCCTACACTTATGTCTGGTTATTATAATCGGTTTGGTTTATTTTAATCTGCTTTGCTTTTCTATATAATATTCTGTCTGATCCCAACTTTGCTATTCTAATAAGGTTTGGCCTTATGAAGAAAGTAATGATTATGGATTTGTTCAAAGGCTCTTTGGGATGATGCGGTCCCTTTGGTCCCGTGATCCAGACGTTTTCACTTCAATAGGATCTGCCCGGTCGGAGGTAATCTCGAATGTCCTGTCTTGTTCATGCTTTATCAATTATTCAAACTAAGGGATCTCAGTTTTATGCTCTCTCTTTATTCTTCTATTCAACATGCATTTTCAGATTCAGCAGAAGGCTGATGTGAGCATATCCCGCCTTTGCTTTAGTTTGAGCTCCTATCTTTATTTTCTTGTTACAAAGAAGTCTCTAAGGCTGCAGGTATGAAAACCATAACCTGGTTTGTAATGCAACTTTTATTCGGCATAACTTGAATTTTAAAATTGATTCCCTGGGTTATCTGATAGATCTTCGACCATGCTTCTACTGCAACCCAGCAACCCACTCTGGCTTCGCTTGTGTTTTTCCTTGGTTCCCTGGCCACCGTACTTGATAGAGCTGCAGAGGAAAAATACTTGCTGCTTAATAAGGTTTGTAATATCATTTGTTAAACTTATTCTAAGCTTAACTTTAGTCAATACTAAAAACTCTATAAACTTTCCTGGTCTAGATTAAAGACATCAATGAGTTATCAAGACAGGAAGTTGATGAAATCATCACTATGTATGTCTCTCACAGTTATGCTTCATCCTCTGAAAATATACAGAAAAGGTATTTCACTATCTCTCTGCTTATCTCAGACTCAAAAAATTAAAAATAAACGCACACATACACGCACAAAGCATAGGATGTGTATGTTCTTTGCTGGACGGTTAAGTGCAGTGAGATCTCATTGCACGGAAGAGGGCATTGTGGTGTAATACCTTAGTTGTGCAGATCAATAAGGATTGAGGAAGCACTCACATGACATTTTCTGGGTGTTCTTTAAAAGTTTCAAGCCGTGTATGTATTAAAGTTGTTTTCTTATTAACCGTAAAAGCTGGAGAAGAATTCTTGATACTATAGGCTAGGGATGAAACATTCTTTGAGCATTCATTGTCTGCTAAACATACCTATCCTAAAATGAAAAAAAGATCGTGAAATTTTGGTTTTGTTACAAGAATGTTCAAGCTCTGGTTTTTATTTGGACTAATTTGAACTGGAATCCGTTTTAGCAACTGGCTAGTTGACTAGAGGTTCAGCCAGTGTGTACTTTGCTCATGCTAAACATAAACTCATACGACTGTTCTTGTCTCTATTTTCACTTTATAGGAGATATATGGCAATGGTGGGCATGTGCAAGATTGTTGGACATAGGAGTCGACTTATTATGCTATTGCTTCTACTTGCACAAAATTTGATGAACATCACCCTTGCCCATTTCAATGATAGGTATAACTTTCTGCATATTTCTCTTTGTTGCTAAAATATAAATTTGTGCTTCGCTGATTCTCTGCACTTCATATGCATATGATTACAGTAACTCTCTGAAAGCACTGTCTGATGCTAAAGAGGAATTGCATTCTCTTTGTGGACGGTTAATTCCAGTTCTTGAAAGGCTTGAATTGGTGAACGAGGTATGCTGTCTGCTTTCACTTTCACATGATAATTTACCCCTTTTTTTTTTCCTTGATAAGAACATGATAGTTTACCTGGTCAGATGGTTCAGGGTAGGTTAATTTCCTTCTTTACATATTTGCATGTGTATCTTCTGAGTGTTAGGGTGCGCAGGAGTAGGAGTTGAGGGTTCGAGTGGTTGACTTTGTTTTTGCATGTGCTGAAAGAAGTGTAGTTTTCAGTTATACAACCAAGACAAGAAAGGGCAAATAACAGTTACAACTCTAACCTCGAACTGTACAAATTACCCCCTGTTTAGAAATTAGATCTATAGCCCCTGAAGTTTAGCTCCGGTGAGAAACCCAAAGAAATCAGCAAATGACATTTCATCCTTTGTGAATTTTGATTTAAAAAACATTGAAAAACAACAAATAATTAAAAACTTAGATGGAAGTTCTTGAACCATGCAATGTGTAGTGTAATAAGGGAATTAATATAACATATCAAAACATATCCCCTTTTGGGTGCAGCTGGATATAAACTATTTGAAATGAATGGATTTGCAATCACTCCAAATTGGAAGGATATAAAATGACTCCAAACGGGAAATATTTGAAATTCACTACAATTATTTAAAAAAACAACCTAAAATGAGAGCTATGGATTTGAAATCTTGTCAAATGACTAAATGGATTTGTTATCGTGGATTGAAAATTTCTCCTTCAAATGCTTCCATGCAAACGTACCCTTAATTATTTTACCCTTCTTTGCAAAATTACATGGTGTTCTTGTCCCTGATTAGTAGTTGGGGTATATGTAATTTTTGTATATGTTAGAAGGTGCGAATACAATGTATTTACAGTACATACAGAGGTTCATATAATATGCACGAAAGTGAATAACATAATGTAACAAGAATTAATTCAGCTTTCTAGATGACTGAGATTGTTTCTTCAGCTTTCTAGGAAAAGTGTTTTCTCTTCTGCCCTGAGATTTTTATTTGAGACCTGATTAATAATTTGAAATATTTATTTGTATATTCTTTCTATTGTTGATTCACTTCACACTCTTCTCATTCTGTGTGTTTGACGTTGAATGTTGAATTTGCAGGATAAAACAGGGCACAACCTCAAAGTATTTCATAGGTTGGCTCGGTCCCTCAAGGAAATGTCAATTCAGAAGCTAGCTAATTGACTCATACCAGTTAATTGTATCTCGCGTATCTTTTGATCTCTGAATTGATAAACGTTGGTTCATGTAAATGAGCATTTTAAAAATCAAGTCGGTTTTCCTTTTAATTGAGTTCTTTTAGGTAGTTGACTGCTACAACATTATTCAAGTATCGTGTTGGCATTGGTGCAAAATGCAGGGACTTGGGTTGTTGGATGACATGTTTTACTGAAAAAAGAAAATAACAGAAAAACAAAACCACAGCTGCAAGGATGTATGGGTGGGAGGGAGTGTTATGTAAGGAATGACATAATTGTCTTGCAACTGTTCTTGTATAACAATCTTGTTGGAACAACATATTTACTTGGTCACCTTTATATATCTTTCATCCATCATGCATCTGGATGAAATTTAGAATTACGTTGATTGTCAGTACCATCTATGAAATAAAATGTAAGTTTAACTCTCAAATTGTTCGAAGTCAGAATTTCTTGAGATAGCGCATCAATAGATTTGGCAAGACTTAAACAATTATGCCCTTGTTCTAAATATTAGAATACAAATTGTTCCGTGGACTTTGTGCTAGTCACTAGTGCACAAAAACAACTGCCCAAAAATACACATACAAAGCAATGCTTAAAAATATTCGTAAAAAAATGCTCATGAAAACATGCACTACATTATTAGAACATGAAATGAATACAACAACATGCACCATACACTCGGACAAAAAAACTTGTACAAAAGTATGCACACATGACCATGCACAAAAGTACATGCCAAAAAATGCTCACGAAATCATGCACAACAATATGAACACATAAATACACATATAGAAACATTCACCTAAACAGTTGCACAAGAGAAACATGCAGAAAAAATATGCAAACAATGCACAAAAAGACGCGAGTAATTGTTGGTGTCAAAAGGTAGGCGTGTGCTTTAGAGCACGGAACACAAACCCCCCCCCCAAAACCAAATTTCGAATTGAAAAGCACGAAACATCCATATCTTCTGACACATCATGGGTTTCGTGTTGTAGAGCACGATGCTGCCAATGTTTTTGATAGTTTTGTGCTCTACAACACAAAACTTCATTTTCTTTAACAATTTCGTGCTCTATAGCACCAAACCGCAGATAATTAATTTTTGTTAAAGATGTTTTTTTCATTGGAATTTGTTTTAAATTGTCTTTAACTATTTTTTGTGCAAATTGTGGGAGGAGATAAGGGAAAGAGGCTTATGGTTGATCCGGAAAGGGAAAAGTAAAGAGAAATGAAAAGCTTCCTACAATCAATATCCGACCTCCACGGAAGACCCAGATTGTGGGCGGTCGGCTAGCCCGTCATCCTATGACTGCATTTGGTCGGTATAGGAGAGCCAATCAGAGAGTGTCTGATGTAGTTGGTACTTCGAGAGGTGTAGTAGGTCCTTCGAGAGATGTAGGTGGATCTTCTCACATCCCGTACGAGGACAATGATGGCGATGAACCCGTTGATCCATATGCATTCATTCGTGATGATGTGTGTTTGAACGGATATTCAGCCAGAGATGGAGTATCCGATTGAAGCGGGATCCGGTCGTGGGTTTCTCAGTCATGGTCCCGGTCTCGCTGATCCTGGTAGTCGTCGTTCTCAACATGATTTAAATATTATGTCGGGTTCTATTTTGTTAGATAGTCGATACCAGGCGGTCCGATAGAGCTTGATTTGATTATGAGTTTTAAATCACATATTGCCACCTACGTTTGGTATGAATTTGTAAGTTTATTTTATTTTTTCAATATATTTTTATTTTATATGTTTTTAAATTGTAATTGTGTAGGAGCACTATGAGGGACGACGTGAGTCCAGGATTACTTCCTTACGGAACTTTACTCTTGATCGGCTCAGAGTGCACATCGGCCCTATGGGCGAGGACTAGGTTGAGCTGCTGGAGGCCTCTCTCCTTGACAACTTACAACATTTCCACGTACGCTATGTGGATGATGGGATTCTTATGGCGTATGTTGAGAGGTGGCAACACTTGATGAAGAGTTTACACATGCCGTGGGACGAGATGACGATCACACTCCACGATGTTCAGCTGATGATCTTGGGTTTGCGTTTCGATGTGCTATTAGTAGACTGTGATTTTGCGGCAGACGGAGAGAGCAGTGTCAGCTGCAACTTGCGGAGCTTTTGGATACTAACCTACTTAACACCCAAGTGTATTTCAGATATTTCACGATTACTTGGGTTGAGGTCGCAATCAGATATTTCATGATTACTTGATGAGTTAGTACTTCAGCTGTAGATTGTGGGGGAGTATGCTTGGGGTGCAACAGTTCTCGCCCATTTCTATCTATAGTTGGGTTTGAGCGGTAGTTATTTTTAATATTTTTATTTTAGTATTTTTAATTAATATATGAATTACTTGCAGTGTTGCATTTACGAGTACTTCCCATATTTTCGAGCACTGAAGGTTCCCGGTTATTAGGAGATGCAGGCTCGTTGCAGGATGTGGAAACCTCGTAAAAGTGGTTGTGAATTGCAACGAGTCCGAAGGATGCTAGACGACATTAACACCGACCTTATACGTTTACAAGTGTTTTATTGTCATTTTCAAAATGAAACAACTATTAATTTTATGCTATGTTTTTTTTTTTAATGTTTTCTTGTTTGTGCGTGAAACAACCATTCGAAATAAACTTATTTAGTATTTCCATTAATTTCAGCAGAAGACTTTGTGAAATAATTATTGTGAATACAAAGTTAGATAGAAATTATTATTTTAAAACTAGAGTAAAAGTGTCCATATTCCACGGTACAGCATTCAGTAAACCATTTTTATAGTAAATTGCATGAATGACCATTAATCTAATTCCAATGACTACAACAAGGAAATTCAGACAAATGTGGTAGTTCGGACAGATTTTGTAGGTCGGCTTTAAAAATTTATTTCTCTTAAACCCTCCGTCCCAAGTGCTTGAAATGTTTACTACTATAAGTGAAAAGTACTGAACTAATGAACTAAAACAATGTGCAAAGATATTAAGCCAATCAAGAGAAATAATTAAAGTTGTGCAGCAACACTGATACGGACCCCGTAAAACTTATTACGATATCCAAATGCCTTATGCGGAAGCAAGATCGAAACATCAAAAAACAAAGGAATCAAAGGGGTGGAACCGTGACCCGTTGCCTATAAAGAGACAAGAACCTTGGTATGTGAAGATGACACAATCAGTTGTGAGATGAACGCATGAAATCCTTCGATATGTTCGTCAATTGAAATAAGCCAAATTGACAACCTATTTATAAGTGCTAAAAAGACTCTTTTTTCACAAGGAAAATGACGTCTACCTAAACTATAATAAGGAAACTAATAAATAAAGAAATCCTAACCTTAAATAACTCTAAAATAATTAAAAAAAAATAATAAATCCTAAAATAAAAACGTGCTTAGTTAAATTAAATAACTTGAACATCAAAACGACTTCTCGACCACCCTTCTAAACTCGCGTGGACATTTGGCTGTGCCCGTGCATGCACATCAAGCTCGATTAAGACAATTTTACACTTCTAATCTCTCTCCGTGCCAAACTTGAAAGTTGTAGAAATTCCAGTTGGCTTTCCATAGAGATTGGAATCACCTCAATTGGATGTCTTATGAGATAGGTATAACCCGAATGGTAAAACTGCCAGAGATAGGTGAGAATCTCAGATGCATGGAATTCGATTTGTCCAACGAATTATTCTCTTCCTTTTCTTCCAATTCCTCAACAAAGACTCTTCAAAGCCCTGTATCAAGCATTTATTCGTCAATTCCAACACGAACGGCTCCATTAATCTCACTCGCTTTCTCTTATTCCAATTCTTCATCTTGGAGCTTGTCAGGATCGTATCAAACGCAGTTTAAAAAACAAAACATGGGAGGGTACTTTAAATATAGGGAAAATGAGGGATAACCCCCTCAATACACAAAATAATAGAGTCAAGGCGCATTTTAATATTAACCATTTGTAAAGAAATCTAAAATTAACATTAGGAATTGTGAGACCCCCTCACGTGTTTATTATTCTAGTTTTGTCCTTTTTCTCCCGCTCTTTCTCTCTATTCCCCATCTCTCTTCTCAACCGTCCTTTTCTTTCTCTCTCCTCCCCCTTCTTTTATATTTTACATATCTTTTTTTTTCTTTTTTTTTTCTCTCATTCACTTTCTCTCTCCCCCTCTTTCTTACCTGGTACGTCTCTTTCTGTTTCTCCTTTCTTTTCTTTCTCTCAAATCATTCGCACTAAAATCGACTTGTATATCTTCTCTACCAAAATTGACGGATCCATAGCCGTCGTATCTTCATAGCTACCATTGGTTCACCTGGTCTAGTAACAAGGAAACGTTCAGATCTATTTTCCGACGAAGTAGCATCCGCTGCCGCTCTTTCTTAACGCACCCCCCACCGCTGATTTTTTGACTAAAAAATCTCCCGCGTCAAAGTCTCACGTTATTGTATCGGATACTTATGCTCATTTCATTGGTTCATATCTATTTTTTCAAGGAAAATTAAGGCTAGTGATAGTTGTATTCGTGAAATTCTTTTTTTAGGGAAATTGAATTTACAAGGTATCCATATGCTTCAGACTATTGAGATCATTTAGAACTTTGGGCGTTGTTGTCAAAGTGTTGGAATTACTTGCCGATGGTTGAATAATTTGACGGTGGTGAATTTTGATCATAAAATTATGATACAAAAATGATCACTGACTACTATAATTTAGTAGTTAACTTTCACAATTTATAGCTAACAATTAAAATTTCATAGTTAACTTTCCCTATTTTGTAGTTGACTGACACAATTTTATAACAAACTAGTAGAATATTATAGTTGAGGTCATTTGGGACTTTGGGCGTAATTGTGAAAGTGTTGGAATCACTTGCCGATGGTTGAATAATTTGACGGTGGTGAGTTTTGGTTATAAAATTATAGTACGTAAATGATCATTGACTACTATAATTTAGTAGTTAACTATCACAATTTATAGCTAACTATTAAAATTTCATAGTTAACTTTCAGTAATTTGTAATTGAGTGACACAATTTTATAGCAAACTAGTAGAATATTATAGTTGACTACTAAAGTGAGTAGTTAAATCATTAATTTAGTTGTTCACTGCAATTTCGTATATCTTTCCAAAAAAAAAAGGTAAAAGTAAAAAAAAAAATCAAAATATAATTAAAAACAAAATTAAATAATTAAAAAAGAGAGAAAGAGCACACAAATTGGTTGACCGATCCTATATTAAAGGGAGGGAGTCTAGTTCAAAAGAAAAATGTAGGGATAAACAGGGGATATGTAAAATGGAGGGGGTTGCACCATATTAAACAAAATGTTTGGTACCTAGTTCTAATATTTTTGCTAGTGAGGGGGTTACGCCTCATTAACTCTTGAAGATATCATATAAATTCCCTAATGGATTCAATACCATTAA